CGAGACAGGGTTTCTCTGTGTAGCTTTGCGCCTTTCCTGGAACTCACTTGGTAGCCCAGGCTGGCCTCGAACTCACAGAGATCCGCCTGCCTCTGCCTCCAGAGTGCTGGGATTAAAGGCGTGCGCCACCACCACCCGGCCTGTTTTTGTTTTTTTGAGACAGGGTTTCTCTGTGTAGTTTTGGTGCCTGTCCTGGATCTCACTCTGTAGTCCAGGCTGGCCTCGAACTCACAGAGATCCGCCTGCCTCTGCCTCCAGAGTGCTGGGACTAAAGGCGTGCGCCACCACTGCTTGGCTTGAGTGGTGTTTCTTTTCGGCCCCATGGGAATGTTCATGCTATGGTGGGAAAGATGCCAGGCTCTTTCTGAGGTGAATCCTTTCATTCAGGGAGGTTTCCCAGCCCCACCAGCGCCCCCAAGTCATTTGTGTCCCCAGCGACATCAAGTATGTGGGGACCCCAGAGCACTTAGCAGAATTAAACTTGTAAATAGGGTTGGAAATGCGCCAGTGAAGGTGTTAGGATGAGTCAGCCCCTCCTCCGTGATAACACGGCCAGCTGGTGTGTCCATGAGGAGTGGGAGTTTATGAACTTTGAGGGGGTGTGACTTGGTTTCCCCTCCCTTCTGGGGGTGTTCTCAGCCTCCCTTCGGCACAGGTTAGCATTGTAGAGAGTTTGCTTAGCCGGTCGGCATCAGGTGTTGTGTAGCTTTAGAGCATCGGAAGCCTTTGGGCTTGATTAGAATCAGTTTCTTGGTTTCTGTCATTATGCCCAGAGGCCCCACCTCACCTAGGTACCCTGTTCTCCCACAAGGCCCTGTAGGGACCATTGTGGTCACAAGTCTGGCCAGCCTCTGGCTGCTGGGAGAGATGAAGTCTTGCAGGTGTTTGTTTTGAGGATGCCTAAGGGTCTGGGGACCCTGAGCTGGGACTCCATGTGGGTCACCTACCTCCTGGTTTCACCCAAAGTCCTGCCTTCAACACCAGCGAGTTTCTTTCTGTTGTGATAATTGGGCATTAAACAGTGGCAGCTCTGGAAAGCTTTGTCTCGATGTCTTTCTTTTTGCAGCCTTGGGGATCCCAGCCACTGAACTACCTGGGGATCCCATCCAGGACCTCATTACCTGCTAAACACACACCCAGCCACTGAACTACCTGGGGATCCCACCCAGGACCTCATTCATGTTAAACACATACCCAACCACTGAACTACCTGGGGATCCCACCCAGGACCTCATTCATGTTAAGCACATACCCAACCATTGAGCTATACCTCAGCCCCATTGTGCTTCCTGAATGACACTTATTACTGACTGAGGGTCTGGTTCCTTGGCTGGGGACGAGGACCACATTTGCCCAGCTGATGTGCCCTGCCCCCAGGTGTCCTCCTTCCCCTGCATTGCTGTTCCCATGCCTGGAGCTGGCAGTGCCCACCTCTGCAGTGTGACCTGCCTGCCTCCCCTACTCCACACAGGGTGGTGCTGCTGCTCCCCGAAGAGCCTCCCCGTTTCTAACCTCATCCTTCACATCCTCCACGTCTCAAAGCAGGGTCCTCAGATCAGCACCTTCAGCACCACACATGGGTGCAGGCGCAAAGGCCAAAGGGCAGTTTCAGGTGTCTTCCTCTCCCGCTCTCCACCTTATTCCCTGCAGACAGCCTCACTGAGCCAAGAACTGCCTATTTTACAGCCGAGTTGACTGGCCAGCCAGCCTCGGCAATCTCTTATACCTACCTGTCCAAGCACGGGGGTTACAGGTGCTCACTGCCATGCTTGGATTTTGTTTGTTTTATATTTTTGGTTGTGAGCCTAGCCTTTAATAGCTGAGCCATCTCTCCAGCCCTGTTCGTTTTAATGTGGACTCAGTTCTTTGGGTTTCTAGTGCTGGGAAGAGACACCATGACCATAGCAACTCTTACAAAGGAAAACATTTTTGGTGGGCACTGGCTCACAGTTTCAGAGGTCTACTCCATTATCATCATGGTGGGAAGCTTGGCAGCGTGCAGGCAGACCTGGTGCTGGAAAGGTAGCTGAGAGTTCCACATCTGCATTGGCAGGCAACAGGAAGAGAGACACTGGGCCTGGCCTGAGCATCTGAAACCTCAAAGCCCAGCCCCCAGTGACACACTTCCTCCAATAAGACCACACCTACTCCAACGAGGCCACACCTCCTAGTAGTGCCACTCCTTATCGGGCCGTTTTCTTTCAAACCACCACCACACAGATATTTGTGCTTGCTCCTAAAGCACTCATAGCCACTGAATCATCTCTCTAGCCCCAAGAATTTTTAAAAAATTTTGTTGGAAAGGACATCATCAAAGTCAGGTGTCATAGTGTATACCTGAATCCCAACATTTGGGAGGTGGAGGAGACAGGGGTTCAAGACCAGCCTTAACTACCTAGCAAGCTTAAGGCCAGCCTGAGTTATAAGAGAGATCTTGAAAAATTAAACAAACCAGGACATCATCAGTAAAGTGAGAAGACATCTTTTTGTTTCTGTATTTTTTTTTTTTTTTCAAGACAGAGTTTCTCTGTGTAGCCCTGGCTGTCCTGGAACTCACTCAGTAGACCAGAGTGGCCTCAAAGACACACCTGCCTCTGCCTACCGAATGTTGGATTAAAGTCATCTGCCACCACCCAGCTGTGAAAAGACATCTTGTAAAATGGGAGAAACTATTTACAAATTATATATCTAGGGATTTGTAATTAAAAAAGAAAATGAACTCAGGGCTGGAGAGATGGCTCAGAGGTTAAGAGCCCTGGCTGCTCTTGCAGAGGACCCAAGTTCAATTCCTAGCACCTACATGGCCCTATTCTGACTTCCCTGGACACATATGATGCCTATACATACATGCAGGCAAAACACTCATACACATAAAATAATCTTTTTTAAAAAATATTTTTTTACATATGTGTGTATTTTGCCTACATGTATGTTTGTGCAGCATATGCAGGCAAGATATACACTGAGATCATTGGATCCCCTGGAACTGGAGTTAGAGACAGTTGTGAGGTGCCATGTTGGTACTGGGAATTGTACCTGGGTTCTCTGGAAGAGCAGCAAGTACTCTTAACTACTAAGTCATCTCTCCAGTTTCCACATAATCTTTTTTTTTGGGGGGGGTGTTCTTTTGTTTTTTGTTTGTTTTTTCTTTTTTTTAAGATTTATTTTATTTATTATGCAGTGTTCTGTCTGCACTTATCCCTGTATGCCAGAAGAGGGCGCCAGATCTCATTCTAGATGGTTGTGAGCCACCATGTGGTTTCTGGGAATTGAACTTAGGACCTCTGGAAGAACAGCCAGTGCTCTTAACCTCTGAGCCATCTCTCCAGCCCATTCCCACATAATATTAAGAAAATGAATTCATATACCTTTAATAAAAAGCCAACCCAGAGCCAGTCATGGTGGCGCACACCTTTAATCCCATCACTTGGGAAGCAGAGGCAGGTGGATCTCTGTGAATGAGTTTAAGGCTAGCCTGGTCTACCTGGGGAATTCCAGGCCAGCAAAGCTACACAGTGAGACCCTGTCTCAAAAAATCACAAATAAAATAAAAGCAAAGAATCTGAATAACTATTTTTCAAGGAAGGTATAGATTCTGTTGTTTGTTTTTCAAGACAGGATTTCTCTATGTAGTCCTGGAACTCACTCTGTGGACCAGGCTGGCCTTGAACTCAGAGATCCACCCGCCTCTGCCTCCTGAGTGCTGGGATCAAAGGCATAAGCCACCACTGCCTGGTGGTATAGATTTTTTTTAAAAGGCCAATACGTAAATAAAAGATTTTTAATCTCACTAACCATCAGGGAAATGCAAATCAAATCTATATGAGGTGTCTCACCACTCCCATTTACAAAAACAATTCTATATAATAAAGAACATGTGCTGTGAATAGAGTAGAGGAGTTGGGAGTCTCCAGGCCACCAGTGGGTTATGAAACAGAGCAGCCAGCCACTTGAGGAAAAAGTTCCTCAGCAGTTAAACACAGAATCACTGTGCAATCCAATAACCCAAGACAATAAGGAAGTGTGATTACACAAAAATGTACATAAATATTCATAGCACTATCAGTTGTGAGAATCCAAAAATGGAACAGCTCAGGTGATTGCAGCTGGTGAACAGATTTATGCCCACATAGCAGAAAGAAGCCAGACACAAGTTATGTAATCTCATTTATATAAAATATTCAGAAACAGGCAGACCTACACAGACAGAAAGCAGATTAATGGTTAAGTTCTGGAAGAGAGAGAAAGAACTCATGGGAACAGGGGGAGGGTGATATAGGAGTCTTGGATTGGTGGATATGGCTTCGTAATTCTGTGATAGTTTTGCCAGCTCA